TGGGGGGTGGGACAGCTGCACACACTCATCCGTCTCCCAGACCCAGTGGCCTCTCATCCCCAATCCCCCTTCTTTTCTCTTGGGCTCCGGAGGCCCTGTGGCTTCTCATGAACTCCCTCTGGGAAGGAGACAATGCTGCCATCCGGTCCCAGGCAGCTCCTCTCTCCTCCTGCTGGGGGCTGAGTGTGGAACCCCCTTTTCTCCGAGTCCGGAGTAGACAGCTAATGACCCTTTGGAAGAGCTGAGTGATGGATAAGCCACCAAGACATTCTCCTCCTCAGGGTCCCCACCCACCAACTCAGTCCCGCACTCTCTCCAAATTTACTTTCCTCGCCAAACTCGGGCCATGGAAACCACGTGTTCCTCGGCTCCTCGGCCTGCCTGGTCTCCCATCAGCTACCCATTCTTTGTGGTCCGACCCCGGCCTGGCTCTGCCCTCAAGGCCTCGCTCCAGGTCAGGTGACTGGGGGCAGAGGAGATGCGGGTGACTACCCAGAGGGGCAGCTCACTCTGCCTGGGGTCCCTGGAAGGCTGCCTGAAGGGGGCGATGGGAGAGTTAAGGCTCAGGTGGTGAGAACTTTGGGCTGTGGTCTTCGTTCTGAAGCTACAGAGGAAGATGGCAGGGTTGAACCTCAGATGAATCCAGGCTCCTTCTCTACCTGGTCCATGGCTGCTGGCCGGCCCGAGCAGGGAGCTGCTCTGGAATGCCCACAGGAGCCCGCTGCCCGGGGGCCCTGGGTCCAACAGGCTTGCTCAGCAGCAGGGCAGCAAGTCCGAACACCCAAGCGTCTGAGGACCACAGTGGACAGTCACCGATGCTGCCTTTTGTCAATGAGAGGATGGTGTCCTCTCTGGGTTGGCATGGCCCTGCAGGGGACCTGTGTGTGGGAATCAGAAGAGGCACCGCCTGCTCTGGACAGGTGCAGCTCCTTCCAGGTGCTCCCTGCGATGGAAGACCCAGTCAGCAAGGTAAGCACAGGCTGACTGGTGCTTACAGACTCATCTGTGCTTCCTTATTGATGAGTCCATAAGCAGCAGTCAGCTTATGCTTACCTTACTGGGTCCTCCTCCCCTGTATCAAGAACTATCGATGTGAAAAGAGGCTTTGATTCTGTGGGAAGGGGCTGGGGGGCTGAAGAGAGGCAGATGCCAGCCAGACCAGAGGTGGAATCTTGGATGTGCTGGGGGAATGTGAAACCGCTCATTAGATAAAGAAGCCCAAGGAAGCAGGTGCTTACTTTGCTGATTAGGTAACTGGAGCCTGGCTGCATGGCTGCTCCTGGGTCTGGTGCACTCCCCGCTCCCCAGACTCCCTGGTGCAGTGAAAAACCTGCAGGACTATGCATATCTGCCCTGGCCACTTCCTTCCCCACCTGCCCCCACTATGCCCGCAGCCTGGGCTACAGGAGCAGGCTGGGATGGAGGGCCACCCATGGCCGGGCCTGCTAGGAGGTGGGTTTGGGGCTGCTGTGGGTTGCTTTTGGGGCCCTGACTCTGACAGGCTCCTCTCTCAGTAATTTAGGGGTGCCGCCAGGCCGGGGGAGCTGTCCGCTCACGGGGCCCCTGCCTTTCGACCTCATCTACACTGACTACCACGGCCTGCAGCAGATGAAGCAGCACATGGGGTTGTCCTTCAGGAAGTACCGGTGAGGCCATGACCCCCCACCCTGGATTCCCCCCACCCTCACCCCCGACACCAACCAGCACCCTGCTGCCAGCTGGTGCTCTGGGTGGGGCACAACCGTCCCTGGGGTCTCCCCTGCCCCCTGCTTCCCATTCCCCACCTTCAGAGCATCCCACTGCCAACTGCATGGCTTGGGGAGCAGGACTCAGAGGGGACCCAGATGTGGGGCTCAGAGGAGATGCAGGGAGGGGTGCAGGACAGCCGCCCAGGGCTGCGGCCTGTGCTGTGGGGGCCATGGGCGCCCCTGCCCTTCCCTCAGCCGACCCCACCCCCCCGCAGCCCGAGAGGCAGGTTTAATTTAGCGCCCAGAGCCTGCTATCTATTATGGTGCTCTTGTCCCATTGACTCTCCCGCATGATTTCATTAGGGGGAAAGTGACAGGCGGCGTTATTGCTTTTATTATTAATGCGAGTTCTCTGTGCACCCGGCACTCAGCCCCCTCGGGTGGAATAACGCCGACCTCAGCACTCTGCCGTGAATCTAGGTCACCGCTGGCAAGGGGGAAGGGGGAGGCAGTGGGGGTGACTGGGTCTCACTCCCAGGGGGCTGGGAGGACGTAGGGGGGAGATTGGCTGAGGTGGCCCATCAGGGGAGCCCCTGAGCATGCTTAGCACCCCATGGCCTGTGCTATTGGCTGATCCCCTGGGCAAAGGTGCCCCCACCCTGGGCCTTGAGCTTAAAGCCAGCAGGAAGGAGGGTGGGCAGGGAACAGACAGCCGCCAGCCAGCCAGCCAGCCAGCCGGGAGGTCCTTCCCTGGAGTGGCCACCTGGCCCGGGGGCCTGGACTCTCTGTGTTCCCAGAGTGGAACCTCGGGCAGCTGTGGGCCCCAGGGGCCTTGCCCTTCTGTATGGGACCCACTGTTGTGACCAATAGTCTCAGAGCACTGACCTCGGACGTGGGCCAGGCAGTCCCAATGACCTTGAGATAATCTGTGGAGAAGATGGCTCAGAGGTTAAGACACCTGCCTGTGGTCACACTGTCCCAAAGCTTGACCACGCAGGGCACCATCCCCACCAGCCCTTGCCATGGGCCCCAGGCCGGGGCACACAGCCAACGCTGGTTCTTGGTTTCTGTGGTGGCAGGTGCCGAATCCGGGTCATTGACACCTTTGGGACGGAACCTGCGTACAATCATGAGGAGTACGCCACGCTACACGGCTACCGCACCAACTGGGGCTACTGGAACCTCAACCCCAAGCAGTTCATGACCATGTTTCGTGAGTGTGCCTGGGCTGGGGGTGGGGCCTTCTGGGATGCATGGTGAAAGGTGAAGGGTGGGGTCTCCTGAGGTTCAGGGAGGAGTGGGGCCTCTTGGGGGGGTGTCTCAGGAAAGGGACGGGGCTGCTTGGGGCTCAAGGCAGCGGGCAGAGCCTCCTGGGATTTTTGGAAGGGGGCTGGGCTAGGCCCAAGGGCCAGCTGGGGACTCATGGCTGGCTGGGAGGAGCAGAGCAGGGGTCTCCTCTTTCCTTCCCCGCGGGGCCGTCTGGGTCTGGGGGCTGCCCTGGCATTCAGGCTTCGGAACAGACCTCCTCCCCATGCAGCAAGTGTATGAACCAGACAGGAAACTTCTTGTGATGCTCAGGAGCCGGCAGCCAGGAAGGAACAGCTTTAGGCAGGGGTGGGGAGGAGGGCTCCCCAGCTGCCTGGGAGAAGCCGGTCACCTGCCCAAGGTGAGCAGGACATGGTCCCCACCTTAGGGGAGCACCCAAAGACCCGGGCTGGGCACACAATCTCAGGGCGGAGCTGCTCTGGTGGGCTCTTAGAAAATTCCAGAACAAGGCTGAGCGTCAGGGGAGGCAGGCTCGTCTGGGAGGAGGGAGCAGACAGTGCAAAAATGGCTGTGGAAAGAGTCAGAATGTTCTGAAAACACCTGAGCCCAGTGGAATGATGGGCAGTAGAGCTTTGGGAGGAGGTGGGGGGTGGGGTGCCTTGCAACAGGGCAGACATTGGGGGAGAATCCTCGGATAACTGGGCTAGGGAAGGGGTGCGGGCTGCTGAGCATAAGCCGTTCACACTGAGACTTAGTGCCACATGCAGACTGGCCTCTCCAGTGAAGACCGAGACCATGGTGGACCCCGTTTTGAGGACTCTCACCGCCGTCACCCGCTAAGTGGCCCCCTGTCATCTAGGCTGTCTTGGGGGCAATAAGATTTCCAGGTAGATAAGAGTGGCTTGACACCTGGGAAGGTGGTCCAGATGGGGAAACTGAGGCCCAGAGAAATGGAGAGGCCCCTCTGCGGTCAGTGAGGACCAGACTGCCTGCCCCCCAAGTCCATTCCCAGGTTGCACCAGCTCCTACAAGAGAAAGTGACTGCCCCCCAGATGAGCAGCTGCAGCTCAGTGGTCTCAGGGACCATCTCCAAGGTGATGCTACAGGCTGAGGTAGCAGCGTGGGTGGCGGCAGAGGAGAGCGTGTGGGAGAGGAGGGCAGCAGCCAGCGATGAGGCTGGGAAGAGGGTCTTCAGTGAAGGTTCCCGAGCTTATGTTTGATATTGGAATTTCAGACCCACTTGTAGGCTTCTGGAGGGGCCCTGGTTATGAGGTGGGTTATGTATTGAGCTGCTAACCACATGGTCAGTGGTTCAAACCTACCAGTCTCTCTGAGGGAGACTTAAAAGTCTCAGGAACACAAAGAGGAAATTCTAGTTTGCATCTGAATCAACTCAAAGGCATAGAGTTGTTGTTGAGGTGCCCTGGTGACCCTATCAGGTAAAATTTGGACTGTTACCCGCAAAGTCAGCGGTTCAAACACATCACTTTCTCTGAGGAAGAAAGACGAGGCTCTCTGCTTCTGTAAAGAGTTACAAAGCCTCAGAAACCACGCACACGGTCACTGTGAGTCGAAATCCACTGGATGGAGTGTGTGTGCGTGCGTGCGCTCTGAAGCAGATGTCAGAAAGACCTCAGTCATTGAGGACGATTGTCCTGGCAGTCTGAAGGTGGCCAGAGAGGGTAAAGGAGAGGAAGCAGAAGCCGAGGGGTGGAGAGACTCCTGCAGTAACCTGGGCCCACTGCATGTGGAGGACCAAGCCTGGCCAAGCCCTCCACATCTTCCCAAGCCCAGCGCAGAGACTGGGCCTGTGAGCCAGCCCTTTCCCGGATGCCCTCATCTCCTCCCCCAGGCAGTCCGCCCTGCTCCTTCACCTCTATTTTAACCACCCTTAGACTCGATTCTGCATAAGTCCAGCTGGCAATGTAGGAGAGCCGTTGGCTTGCGGGGTCTCTGGGTGGTACAGCCGACTGGTCGGAGGAAGAAAGGCCTGGTGACCGCGTTCTGAAACGTCAGCCATTGAAAACCCGCCAAACACATTCTCCTCAGACACCGGGGGCGGGGATTCCATGGCAGCCGGTGTTTCTGTTTGCTGGCTGGCTTGCTGGCACACCGATTTCGGTTAGAGGCTGAGCCAATCCAGAAGAGGACACTGTACCTTATACCCCCTGAGCCTGCCGGGGCCTCAGAAACGTTCGTTGATAAAATAGGACAAGAGATGGGGCGGGGGTGGGGTGGGGGTTGTCATAGTAGAGTCCAGGAAGGAGTTGGAGAGCAAGCCTTTTTTATAAAATGTGTTTATTCGCTTACTTATCTCTTGCTCGTCTTTGCCGGCTAGTATGCACTGGGTGTGAGTACAGGGCCACCCTCCTCTGCAGCTGACCTCTTCCCTGCAAGCCTCTTCCAGCTTCACCCTTACCCTACCCCCAGGGGCTCTCTGCTAATGATGCCCGTTATTTTAATTGGCTGCAATACTTCCTGTCCCGCTCCTACTGTTCAGCTAATTATGTTCTAAATCTGTCCCTTTGGGTGGCATCGGTGGACCGAGCGAGGGGGGGAGGGAGGGAAGTTTAGTGGGAGTTCTTCAGCTGCAGAGAAAAGGGGAGGGGCATTTGGCCAGAGAAGGGCCTGGGCGCAACTCTGTGCAGTAGGGTGAGCCCCAGGGTCCCTCCTCACCCATCTGAAGCTGGAGCGCAAGGCGCTCTTGTTCTGCATTCCTGTAGCAGTGCTCAGTTTTGAGACCCACGAGCCAGGGATCACTTGGGGTATGGAGCCTGCTGAGCTGGAGGTGGGAGCCCAGCCTCCCTCTCTTGTGAGGGGCAGGGGCTGTTGATTGCAGGGTTTCTGGAGGCGGGTAGAAACGGGGTGTTGGATGCACACGCTTGACTAAAAGGTGCATGGGGGAGTGGGGGGTTTCAGAACTGAAAACAGAATGAGAAATGCATCTGAAATGGAGGGTTGGGGTCTATGAAACTGGGGCTGTTCTGGGTGAGCAAGACTATACAGCTGTCGGGGTGTAGTGGTTATGCATTGGGCTGTTAACTGGAAGGTCAGCAGTTCAAAATCACCATCCATGCCCAGGGAGAAAATGAGGCTTTCTACTCCTGTAAAGAGTTACAGCCTCGGAACCCCAAAGGGGCCATTCTACCCTGCGCTGCGGGGGTCTCTGGGTCAGAGTGACTCGATGGCAGTGGGTTTGTGAGTTTGTTGGTCCCTCATCTCTGAGTGTGCCACAATTGCTGTTGTTGGGTGCCATAGAGCTGGTTCCGATTCACGGCCACCCGGGGGTGGGACTGCTCCTGGGAGACTGACTTCTGAGACGAACTCTGTATGGGAGTAGAAAGTCCGTCTTCCTCCTGAGGATCAGCTTGTCGTTGCAAAGGGCTGACCTTGTGGTTCGCAGCCCAGAGCGTACCCACTCTGCCACCAGGGCTCCTTCCTGGCAATAACAGACAGACAGACAGACAGACAGACAGACACATCTCTAACATAACTGCTGGAGGTCAGTCCCTCTGTCCTGAAAAGTCAGGGACGGGGCATGATGGGGTCAGCAAGGACTTCCCTGCAGGGGCCCTGGGGCTGAGACCTGCGTGGAGGGAGGGATTGAGCCCCAGAGAGGGGGATGGGAGGAGATGCAGAGGGAAATGGGGCAGGTCTTGCAGCCCCCCATTCCCACCCCCATGGCTGGAGGGATCTTGGCATCCAGACACATGGCCGGACCTCAGTTTGAAAGGACTGCTCTTCCTGGAGAAAAGATTGTCCTTAGACAAGCACAGAGACCCAGGCGGGCAGAGAGGCCTGTGGGGACAGGCAGCTGTCATGGGTCCTGGCAAGCAGACAGAAGCCTGGACCAGGGGACAGCGATGGGGGCATGCAAGAAAGCCCACCCTCCGATGGTGCAGAGATGGGTGCGTGTGGCAATGGACAGCCGTCACAGTGACTGAGGACCAGGGCATGATGGCAGCGTGTGAGAGAGCCCACCTACCGATGGTGGGGCTAGTGGGGAACCATAGCTTGGACTCTGAGCAGCTGAGCAGCCTTGGGGAGGAGCTGGTGATGATATCAGAGTCCTGGCGGGTACAGCGGACCTTGGCTGACCTGCCCTGTGCCTCAGTTTCCTTCTGTCTGCCATGCTGTCCGTGGAAGGGAGGGGCTGGGGGCCTAGGCGCTCGGGGCACTGTCACCCATGAGAGACCCCACCCTGGCTCCTTCCTGTCGCTGGGAAGACCCCCAGGCCAGTCCAGGGAGACTTGTGACCCCGCCTGTCCCCTCCTCGGCTGCAGCGCACACGCCGGACAACTCCTTCATGGGCTTTGTGTCGGAGGAGCTCAACGAGACGGAGAAGCAGCTCATCAGGGCCGGCAAGGCCGGCAACATGGCCGTGGTGTATGGCAAGGAGCCTAGCATCTGGAAGGTGAGGGCTGGGGGGGGCCTTACCCCCCCCAGCAGAAAGTGAGGACCAGGGAGGGGCACCTGGCCCCAATGCTGCTCCCTGGATGACTCAGCTCCTCACTCCCTGCCCCCCCTGGAGCACCCTCAGTCCTGCCCCGGATTCAGCTCCATCACTCTCCCCACCCTGGAAGGTGAGGGTCAGCAGGGGGGTGGGGGGACACTGGGTCCCCAGTCCTGGCCTCAGACTCAGCTCATCACCCACCCCCCTTCTTCATGGTTCAGACAAAGAAGTCCTCCTTTGATAAGGAGAGACATCTAGCTTGGGGCTGTCCACGCCCCCAAGCCCTGCCCAGCCCCAATCTTCACCAGAAACCCCAGTGGTCACTTTATCCAGGTGATGACCAAATCCTCCACCTCCCTGGGGACAGTCTGCAGCCCTCCCTGGTGGACTAAGAGATGATGGAGAAGGCAGAGTGGTTGAGGGCTAGAACCCCATCTTCAGGACTGGGGTCCCCCGCACAGAGCTGCCTACAAAGTCACTGCCTGCCGCCCAGGTCACTAACAGGCTCTCTTCTCTCCCTCTGCATTCCTTGGCCATGAGGCAGCTCCAGGTAGGATGCTCGGGCTTCCTCCCCATCCCTCCCCTACCCCCATCCCCACCTTGGGTCTGTAATGAGGAATGCCCTGCGTCAGGCTTGAGTGGGGGTTACTCCTGTGGGTGGACCACCATTGGGAGGCGGGAGATGGGGAGGGGGAGAGAGAGGGCCTTCCCCTGAGTCACTGAAGGGAGGGGCCAGGGCTGGGCAGTCAGGGCGCGGTCCAGCCTGGTCCAAGGGCTTCTCTCAGAATGGACAGGTGGCATGAAGTGAATGATACCGATGCTGATTGAGGGCACCATATATTGACCACCTGGACGAGCAGTTTAGCGCTTGGCTGCTAACTGACAGGTGGATGGTTTCAAGCCACTTGCTTCCACAGCCACTTGCTTCCACAAGGATTCACAGCGTGGGGAACCCTGGGAGACGGTCCTACTCCATCCTATGGGCCTCGGAGTCAGAACTGACACTGCGGCAAAGGGCTCACCACCCTTGGGGGGAGGGTGGTGGTGGTGTGTGTGGGGGGTCCCTCGGTCTGCAAACGGTTGGCGTTCTCAGCTGCTAACCAGAAAGTTGGAAGTTCGGGTCTCCATGGAGGTGCCTCCGAAGAAAGGACTGGCAGTCCGCCTTTGGAAACCAGCCGTAGAAAACCCCACGATGCAGTTTCACTCTGTCGGGGTGACGGGGTCCCCCGCCCTTGGACAGGTCCTCGGGAGCGACTTTGCGATTGTGGAAAATATTAAAGACAGACAGACAGACGGTGGGGCACGGGGGCTCCTCGTCCCATGTCAGGACTGAGAGTAGCGTGGTTTCCAATGGGTCCAGACAGCGGGGCTTTCAGAGCGTTCAGTAGGCATGCGCCTCACACAGATAACAGACATGTCGTCCACGGTCCTAGCATAAGCGGGTAACATAAGAAACAAGCAATGAGGTGAGTCGGCGTCTTGACCTAGTGATAGTTGACCTCAACACCCCACCCCACCCCCATCCTTGTCCTCCCCCCAGGGGGCTGCTGCTTTTATGGTGGGTTGGCTGTAGAGCCTAATGGCTCTAATCTACTGATAACCTTTAGGCAGGGTGAAGTAGCAGGACACCGAAACTGATTCCTCTTATATGGCAGCCCCTTAATGACAGTTCCTTTATGGGGGGTTATTGGAGGGACTGTGTCCAGTCATGAGGATGTGTATTGAGATATATTTATATTTCATCACCGTGAGGGTTTTCCCCCACCAGAGTCAGCTTTCCAGACCCGTCCTTAGGAGCAGGGAGGATTTAGCGGCATTGCATTCTTTGTCATCCGGTCCCTCGGTTCACCACACACCCGACAGCATGTGTGAGGGTTCCGGGAGCGGGATCCGGCCCGCAGCAGTGGACTTCTCCATGGACTTTGTGCCTAGTGCTCATACGCTTGGGAAAGCTGGGCACTGAATAAGGAAGACAAGAAGAATCGTGCGTTTGAAGGACGGTGCTGGGGAAGACGACTGACTACTCCAGGCTGCCAAAGGAACAAACCGAGCTGTCTGGGAAGCACTCTTGTGAGGCCAGAGCGCTCCTTAGAGGCCAGGATGGCGAGGGTTCATCTCATGTACTTTGGACATCTTGTCAGGCGAGACCAGACCCTGGAGAAGGACATCGTGTTTGGTTAAGCAGAGGGGCAGCGACAAAGAGGAAGCCCCTGGAGGGACACAGTGGCCGCAACAATGGGCAGTTGTGAGGATGGTGTGGGCAGTGTTTTGTTCTGTTGTGCACAAGGTCAGAACAGACTCCGCGGCACTGAACATAGCAATAATAATGACGAGGCCTCGAGCGTAGGAGGGGCCCACTCAGGATTATCACCTGGTTTTACAAATGAGGGAACCAATGATCATGCCGGGGGCTTAAGTGGAGAGCAACTGTTTTGAGAATGATGAGGGCAATGAATGTACAAATGTGCTTGACACAATGAATGGATGGATTGTGCTAAGAGCCCACTAAAATGATCTAGAAAAAAAAACAGAAGTTAAAAAACATCTCACTGCTGCAAAAGTGGCTGAGCTGGGATTCCAGCCTGTCTCTAACTCCAGAGCCAGGGGGCTCAACCCAATGCTGTCTGCCCTCCCAGACTTCTGAAGCCCTGGCTCATGACAGAGAAAAGCTCTTAAGCTGGGCCCAGAGTCCACGACCTCTGTCAAGGGTGGGAGAAGAACTGACAGGCAATTGTCATTTGATGCAAAGCAAGATGGTTGCCAAGGGAACCCGACGGTGCCCTGTGCCCAGGTGCTGGGCAAGGAGGCAAAGTCAGAGGGTAATTGGAACAGAGTGTGGCTGCTCTGACCAGGAAACAGTCAGGGGGCCGCCCCGAGAGGGAAGATGGGAGGTTATGAAGGCTGGGAAGAGAAGGGTTTTATCTCTGGCTCGGGAACTTCTGTGATAGCCCGGAGCAGTATTGTCAGCAAGGGACCTCAAAGAAACTTTCCCAAAAAAGAAGGCTTTGCTGTGTAGCGTTTGCCACTGCAGGAAGTCAGAGGTGGCCAGATGGAGAGAGAAGCGAACACAGCATCATGGGACACATTCCAGCACCAGAGAGTCCAGGAGCGGGGGAGGAGAGGGATGGGAGGAGGGGGGTCACTGTATCCTCTGGGCAGCTGGAGCCAGGAATCATCCAGGGCCTGGGGTTTAGCGGGCTGGGGGCCAAGGCTGCTGCCCTTATTCCCGATTCCCCCAAGAGCAGAGCTGGAGGTGACAGCTTCTGCCTGTGACGGGTCACCAGCCAGTGGGCAGACTCGGCCAGCGAATGGATCCCAACTCCTGGCGCCTCCGCAGAACCGCACCCCTTAGGCAGTTTGCCAGAAGTGGGTCACCAGGCCTTTTTTCCGAAGCACCTCTGGGTGAACTTGAACCTCCAGAGCTGCAGAAGGGTCTTTCTTTGGAGCCTTGGGTGCTGCAGTGGTTACCGTTGGGCTGCTCGGCACAAGGTCAGCGGTACGAAACCACCAGCCCCTCGGCAGCTTTCTACTCCGGGAAGGAGTCACCATCTCAGAAACCCACGGGGCAGCTCTACGCTGTCCTATAGGGCTGCTCTGAGTTGGCATCCACCGGCGGCCGTAAGTTTGGGGGGAAGGTAGCCCCGGGAGAGGACATCCTGCTTGGTATGGTAAAAGGGCAGGGGAAAAGGAGCGTCCTCACGAGATGGACGGGGCAGTGCCTGCATCAATGGGCTCAGAAATAACAATGGTGAGGCTGCCGCAGGACTGGGCTGTGTCTCGTCCTCATGTCCACCGGGGCACTGTGAGTGGGGACCAACTGGACAGCACCTGACCCCCACAACAAAACAGGTCCACGTGCTCCCCTCTACGGTTGCTCCTCATTGCAGCTACGTTTCTGGGATTCCATTTGGGATCACTGTCCTCATCTAAGCTCCTCCTCCTCCTCCTCCTCCTGCTCTTTGCTCACCTCAGCCCCACAGTGCTCCAGCACCGTTTGTGGAAAAAACTACCCTTCTCCACCACCCAATCCCCTTTGTCCCCCTGGCCACGATCAGCTGACCTCGGACTCACTTCTCTCCCCTCTCCTCCGGGCCAGTGGTCTGCTTTCCTGCCTCTGTTAGGGAGCTTGACAAGGGGCCTTGGAATTGGGAAGCAAACATCTGCAAACGCTCGTCCTTTCTCTCAGAAGTGGCTCGCTGCGTGTTCTTGGCCCTGTGCATCTCTGTGTGTGTCAGACCCCGAGTGTGGACATCTACGAGCAGGCCTTCGGCGTTTTTAGATTCCTTGCTTCTTTTGAGCTCTGGACCTCACGTATGAACGTTTCTTGAAATCATGGGGTCAGAGAAATCATCGGGGTGGTGGTGTTATTTTGACTTCTGGCTATTCTGGGGGGGGGGGCAAGGGGCTAGCAAGTCTGATCGCTGTCAAAGAATGACTTTGGGATGGGGACGATTTAAAACAGAGCCCGCCCATAGTGTCATTTTAAGCCATTCGTTTTCCAAGGTATGGGGCCTCAGACTTGGGATCCAGGCATGAGGCTCCCTCCAGGGCTCCCCCACCCAGGCAGTCCCAAACTGGTGGGGTCTTTTGTTGTGCTTTGTTATTTTGCCCCTCAGCTCTGCCACCACCCTTTCCTTGTCTGTGGGTGGGTCACACTGTGGTGGCTCGTGTGTGGCTGGGATGCAGGAAGCTCTGTCGCCGGTCTTTCAAATGCCAGCAGGCTCACCCGCAGGGAACACGTTTCAGGAAAGCTTCAGAACAGACTGGAAAGGAGGAATGGGCTGCCCAGTTTGGAGGAAGACGCCGCTGAAAACCTTGTGCACAGCTCCCGGGCACGGCCAGATACTGACGGCCTCGTGGGTGGGAGCAGCACACGGTCGGAGGCAGCGAACCATTGTGAGGCGGGCACAGGACTGAGCGGGTTCTGTTCTGTTGGGCATAGGGACGCTATGGGTTGGAACCAACTCGATGGCACCTCCCCACAACCATGGCCAAAGCTCTGCCAGGCTGCCAACAGACTCTCAGCTCAGCTTCCTCAATGCCAGCTCTGCAGTCGGCTCATGCCCGAAAGGTTCCGAGCGAGCGCCAGCCCCAATGCCAGGCGAGCTTGACATGCTTGTCCCCGTCTCCAGTTCTCGGTCTTGTCAATTTCCTCTTCTCCTCACACTTTCAGGAGCCCCGGGCGGGCACGGTGCTTAAGGGCCTGGCTTCTGGCCAATCGGTCAGTGGTTCAAACCCACCAGGTGCTGCATGGGAGAAAGCTGGAGCAGTCGGCTTCCAGAAAGAATTGCAGCCATGGAGACCTGGTGGGACAGTCCGACTCTGTCCTCCGGGGTCCCAGGGAGCCGGAATCGACTTGATGACGGGGGGCTGTGGGGATTGTCGTCTTTGGTTCCGTCTTCGGTGTCTTTAAGCGGGTCTGCCTCGCATCCCCCTCCTTCCCTGGTTGTTCTCAGCTGAGGGCTGGTGTGTGTTGCCTCGGCTGCCATTGGTGGTTCGAACCCAACCAGTGGCTGGGCGGAAGACACGACCTGGCAGTCTGCACCCATAGAGTGACAGCCTGGAAACTCCCAGGGGGCACATTGACTCGGTCACGTGGGGTTGAAGCAGACCCCGCCAACAACCGCCTGACTCTACCGGAAATCCTCCTGGTGACAGTTTCACCTTCAGAACCTCGAACAGTAATTCTGAAGTCCGCTCTCGAAGCGAGGCCTTCTCGAAGCGGCTGTGGTCCCACAGACACATGCAGACCTGGAGCCCCCTGCACACCGGCCTCAAGGCTGGCCAACCAGCACTTGGAGAAACCTGGAGAAGCGCGGCTCTTTCTCTCTGGCCTGTTCGCCGGCTGGGAACAAGCCCTCCCTGAAAAGATGCTCCTCCGCCCTCCTCCAAGATGTGGAAGCCATTTTCCTACCTTCACCCCTTTCCCTGAGAAGCAGCGGCTGATGCCCTCATAGCAGGATCGTGTGTGTCCCCACCGAGGTCCCCAATCCCACCTCCTACACTCATGACCACAGCTCCCAGAAGCAGAGCCGTGGTCTTGCCCTGCCCTCCGCCCTTATCCTCTTCCCCCAAGGGCTCAGTCTGCTTCTTCACTTCCCCTCAGTCTAGACAGGGAGCAGAGCCTGAAGTCTGGGTTCCCAGACCGGGAATGGCTGAGCCTACGCTAGTTATCGAGTGTCTTCCAAGAGTATAAGTACTTTGTCTTTTCCCTGCTGGGGTCCCAGCACTTAGTACAGGGCCAGCGCACAGCAGGTGCTCAGTAAGTATGTGTGCAGCATGAGTGGATGGAAGGATGGATTGGATGGGTGGATGGATGGATCCATGGATAGGTGTGGGTGGATGGGTGGATGGCTGAGAGGATCGGTGGATGTATGGAACGGAGTAGTTAGATGTATTGAATTGATGGGTGGATATGGATCGCTGGGTGGATGGATGGGTTGTTGGGTGGATGAAGAGATGACCGAGTAGATGAATATATGGATGGGGTAAGTAGTTGGGTGGATGTGGATTAGTGGGTGGGTGGACTGGATGGGTGGATCAAGGACTGGCTTGGAGGGATGACTGAGGAGAGAGGTGGGTGGGATGGAAAGGATAGATGGATGGGTGTGGAAGGATGGATGAACTAGAGGCCTGAATGAGTGGGTGAGTGGATGGATGATGGATTGGACGACTGTAGATGGGATGGAGCAGATGGCGGATAGAGGGTGGGTTAGATGGATGTGGATGGAGGGGATGTGGGGAGAGATGATTCAGGCTCCACTCTGGAGGGCATCCGAGGTCCTTGGAGGCCACCAGCTTTCGAGGGGTGCCAATTAGACCACACAGCTCTCCTTTGATCCCTGTAAATGTTGGCTCCCATGGGGTTCCTTTGGCAAGAAAACCATTTCATGGCTAAAAATACTTCTGACAGCTCTGATCGGGGCAGCCTCTGAGAGGAGGGGGCCCTGGTCCACGGCAGACCTGACTCGGCCGGTGTCTTCTGAGTTCCAGACTGGGTTGTCTCTCTGGCTCAGCCTTGGCTCCCCTCTCCTCTTCCTCTCAGGGGAAGGAGAAGTTCCTGAGCATCCTGAACAAGTACATGGAGGTCCACGGCACGGTGTATTATGAGAGCCAGCGGCCGCCCGAGGTGCCGGCCTTTGTGAAAAACCACGGCCTGCTGCCCCAGCCTGAGTTCCAGCAGCTGCTGCGTAAGGCCAAGGTGAGCCGACCCCTGCCTGGCCTGTGTGCATCCAGGCCCAGCATGCTCTGCTCCTTGGGCCCAGACCCCCTCCTGCTGGGGCTGACCAGAGCCCAGAGGCAGAGAGGAGGTGGTATTCATTGAAAGGCACTGGGCGGGGCCGTCAAACACAATAGGAGGGCACTGCCTACCTGCACAGGACCAACCCAGCCCACTGGGCACCTGGGCCAGGCCTAGCCTTTGGAGCCTCTCAGTAGAGAAGGTGGCAGGAAGGCTGAGCAAGGGCTCCTTGCTGGGATTCCATCAGACCGATGGGCCTGCCCTGTGCCTCTGGGGAAGTGGCTAGCACCGTGGGCATGTCCCTGCTCCTGGACCCTGAGGTGCCAGCTGAGGCTGGAGCACTGCCAGGCCTGCTGCTGCACCGACCCTAGCTTTTTTCCTTTGCCTCGGGGGCCTGTTAGGGGGAGACGGGGGCGTCTGTGTGCAGTGAGCCACCTGAACAAACATACCAGGCAGCCCAGGGTTCAGAATCAGTTGGAGCACCTGCTAGGGGCCCAGCCCTAGGAGCTCTGTAGGCTGCGAGGTGGCCTGCATGGATTATCTGTGGCGGGGTGGGGGGGTGAGTGAGTGAAATAATTTAGGGTGTGAGTCTGGGGCCTCCAAAATTGGAATTGTATACTCTTCTTCCATCCTCCTGAGAGGCAACTGAGATGAGGTAAGAAGTCAAAACCCCATAGAACCGAGAAGGCCTGCCCCATCAGGTTTCCGAGGCTGTGAGTCTTCCCCGGAGCAGACAGCCTCCTTGTCCTTCTGCAGAGCCGCTGATGGGCTCAAACCGCTGACCTTCTGGTGGGCAGCCCCATGTTGAACCCACCAGGGACCCTTAGGTGAGTCCCACATAGATCCCCTCGGTTCATAAATGGGGAAACTGAGACCCAGGAGCAGAAGTGGCTTGGCCATGCACCCCGCTGGGCTGTCTTCACTGCCCCGGTGTCCTGGGGGCCCCAGCTCCTTGGTCATTGTTCCCTTCGCCCCCCGTCAGCTCTTCATAGGGTTCGGCTTCCCCTACGAGGGCCCCGCCCCACTGGAGGCCATAGCCAACGGCTGCATCTTCCTGCAGTCCCGCTTCAGCCCGCCCCACAGCTCCCTCACCCATGAGTTCTTCCGAGGCAAGCCCACCTCCCGAGAGGTGAGTGGGAGGGAACTGCTGGGGGAGGGAGGCCGAGCCACTGCAGGGAAGGGGTGCCTTCTACCAGGCTCAGCACATCGCGCCTGCTTACACACCTGCCAGGTGTTCTCCCAGCACCCATACGCCGAGAACTTCATCGGCAAGCCCCACGTGTGGACTGTGGACTACAACAACACACAGGAGTTTGAAGCTGCCATCAAGGACATCATGAGGACACAGGTGAGAGTGGGGGCTCCCCCAGACCCCCCTAGAGCACGGGGCCCCACTCACCAACTTGTGTCTGTGCAAGGAGCCACCCTGAGGCCCACCTATGGAAAATAGACCCCCTTTTACTTTCCAAACGGGTCTCTCACCACAGCTAGGACAAAAAGCAACTGCTCACTGGTTCCCCCACCCCCAGGACCCCCAGGACACGTGCCACACCTACCAGACCCTAGATCAGTGGTCCTCAACCTTCCTAATCCCGAAACCCTTTCATACAGTTCCTCATGTGGTGGGGGTGCCTGGTAGAAGGCCCCCCAGCCATAAAATTTGCTTCGTTGCTACTTCATCATGGTCATTTTGCTACTGTTATGAATTGGGCAACCCCTGTGAAAGGGTCGTTCGGCCCCCAAAGGGGTCGCGACCCACAGGTTGAGAACCACTGCCCTAGATAGACCTCTGGCACAATCCACCCAAGCCCACCCACTGGCAGTCTGGTTTCAGAATCACTTCCTCAGGGCCATCTCCGCAAGCCCCCCCACTCCGCCCACCCCCGCCCCCAGGTCCTGGTTGCTATCACTCGCTAGGTGCTGATTAAACGTTTCCCAGAGGCTGCGGGACCCTGCTGAAGGTGTGGGCCTGCCCCCCACCTTCCAGCAGCATGTCTCAGATGGGCTTGTTTAATTGCAGGTTCTGACTTGGCGGGTGGGGGCAGGGCTGAGACCGGCGCGCGCGGCACGCGCGCGCGCACACACACACACACACACACACACACTCTGTGAGGATGTGTGATCCTGCTGGCCTGAGCTCCTCACGGGGAATATGGAGCATCGAGGCTGTGGGACACTCAGGGGTCTTGGGGCACGTGCAGGTGCGAGTCTGGCCATGTGGACTCAGCTGGTAGCCAGGGACGTCTGGACCTCTTCTAGCTGTCGCTGGACACTGCCCGTGCCCGTTCGCTGTCCCTTCCCAAGACCACATTCTCCAAGTGCCCCCTCCTGTCTCTCCCCCCTGCTGGAGAGAGACTCCCTGGCTGTGGCCCAGAGGAGACAGGTGCGAGAGAGATGGCCAACACATTCCCCTGGGCTCAGAGGAGGAGACCTGGTGACGTCGTGGGTTACATACTGGGCTGCTAACCCAAAGGCCAACAGTTCAAAACCACCAGCCACTCCTTGAAAGAATGCCGGGCTCAGAAACCCACGGGGGCAGTGCTACCCTGTCCTGCAGGGTCGCTGTGAGTTGGCATCTGATGGCAATGAGTTTGGCTTGCTGGCCTTTCAGTTAGCAGCCCAGGGCTTGGCCCGCTGTGCTACCGGGTCTCTCTGGCCCTTACACACTGCTAGAGTTTATTCTTGTAGCCACAGTCCAGGTTTCTGAGACTGTCCATCTTTACAGGAGCAGACAGCCTCATCCTCCTGTCTGGAGGCAGATGGAGGGGGGGTGCCTGTCCTGTAGGTCACCCAGCCTTTTCATGGGGAGCAAGGAAGAGTGAGGAGGGACTAGGGGTGTGGGAGAGAAGCCAACCTTGACCTCAAAGCCAAGAAATCTCAGGAGCGAGGTCCTTTCTGGAGCCAGCGGCAGGTCTGGAGGGGTGGGGGATATGCAGGGGTTGGTTCACATCTCTCTGTCCACAGCGAGGCCATTTGAGGTGAACAGGAGAGGAAGTGGCCTGCCTCACCCCTCCCCTCCCCACCCGGCCCCCTTGTCATTACGTCAGCCACAGTTGCAGCCGCACCTGTCACTGTCGAGAGGGATGATGGCACCCACCTGGAATTAGATGTAACGGGGTAATTTCCAGGCCAGAGGCTTCTCAGCAGAGATTTACCGCAGCCATTGGTGAGGCAGGGCGAGCTGGCTGCCCTAACCGAGTCTGAGTCAGCACCCAACAAGCGCTTCAGGCACAGGGGTGACCAGGGGCAGCTGCCAGGGCAGGGGTGCAGCATCCAGAAAGGGGTGCTCAAGCTCCTTGCTGGAGCTTTTGTTATAGTTTGGGCTGGAACCTCTGTGTCCGGGGCCCAGAGGGCCTTCTTGGGCCACAGCTCCCAGGAGAGGGTGGGGCAGGGTTGTGCAGAAGGCTGGCCTCTCTCCCCACAGTGGGTTATGTGATGGCTGGGGGAGACCTGTGGGCACTCTGAGGATCCACACTGCCCCAGGACACAGAACCTCCTTACAGTGCAGGAGGGGGGAGCCCAAGGCAGTATGAGCTTGTCCGGGGCACAAGTCCTTGTGGCCAGGAGCAGCTCCTGGGCACCGGTGTCTGGCCAGTCCCTCACTGGCAGGCAGCAGGGAGCAGGAGCCGGCCTGGCACAAGGGCCTTCTTCGCACCCCGATTGGGGTGAGGCCAGTGCTGTGTCCCACCCCCAGAGGGAGCAGACCTGATTCCCACAGCTGCTGGGTGGGGGGACTTGGGCTGTGAGTGAAGGGTTGACCCCACGCACCTGCATGGGGAGGGCGAGGCTGAACCCAACTTGGCCTTCCTCTGTGGGGGGACTCTGTGTTCTAGCACCCTGGCCCCCCTGTTCCTCCAAGGTGCCTCTGTGCTGGGCCCTGAGGTGGTGCAAGGGACAGAAGGGGTGGCTCCATTGGAAAGGAGGAGACACATGTATCCACTCACAGGAGGGTGGCTCTCTAGGAGCCCTGGTGGTGTAGCGGCTATGAGTTGGGCTGCGATCCGCATGGTCTGCCGTTCAAAACCACCAGCAACTCTTTCAGAGAAAGACCGGGCTTTCCACTCCTGTAAGCAGTTCCCGTCTCAGAAACCCACAGGGGTCGCCATGGACTTGATGACCATGAGCTTGGCTCCCCATTGGAATTCTGGGAACCCTGGTGGTGCAGCGTGACATGACAGTGTCGCTCCACAGGAGGAAGACTTGGCTGTCTAAAGCAGCAATTCTCAACCTGTGGGTCGCAACCTCTTTGGAGGGCGAACGACCCTTTCACAGGGGTCACCCGAATCATCACAGTAGCAAAATGACAATGATGAATAGCAACAAAACTAATTTTATGGTTGGGGGCCCCCACCACGAGGAACTGTCTGAAAGGGTCGCAGCATGAGGAAGGTTGGGAACCGCTGTTCTCAAGAGTCCGTTTCAGACACCCACAGGGGCAGCTCTACCCGGTCCTATAGTCACGATCAGTCGGAACTGGCCCGATGGCAGTGAGTATGGTGTTTTGGGTTTGCCAGCGGTCAGCACCCTCAGCGGCTCACTGAAAGGTGAGAGGTGAGGTTTGAATGTACCCAAAGGCGCCACGGCAGAAAGGCCTGGCCACCCACTGCCCCAAGCCGAACATTTGGGAACCCCGGGGAACCCAGTGTCCAGGTTCTGCCACAGCAAGTTTTCTTGGGTGGTTTGTTTGCGTGGTCCCTGTGCTGTGGACTCCAGTGCCTTTTGATTCACTGTACACACACACCCTGCCCCGGGCTGGGGTTAGGCATGCTCCCGCCCTCCCTGGGGCCCAGCCCAGCAGAGCTTGACAAATGCCATCTGGTTCGGTCGACTCCGCAGAGATGTCCCCCTGCTCCTCCACACGGCAGGAGTCAGGCCAGCTGCATGCTCTTGGCTTCCATGAGTTTCCTGAGCGCCTGGTGTATGTTAAACCAAAGGCACTCGGTTCCAGAGCAGAACTGGGCCCTGGGGTTTCCGAGGCTGATGTCTCTATAGCCAAGCTGCCCTCAGACTGCTGGGCTCCACGAGGGACTGCTCCCCGCGTGGCAGCTCCCTGCTGAAACAAGTCAGTTGATATTCTGCCAGTTCCTCCAGCCTTGCTTTTCCACCAGTGGGTCCCATCACCTTCAAGGTCATTGGTTCTCGGGGCAGGCTGTCTAGTGAAACAAAACCAGTGATGTGCATTTATGTCTAAGTAGTAACCTTGTATCAAGGGAGTGGCCCCGCCCAATCCAACACAAGCCAATGGGCTGGAGGCTAGCCGGGGTCCTCCTCACACTCATGTGGCTGCGGGGTGGCGATGCAGAAAGGTGAGGCAGGAAGCAGGGAGAACACAGGTTGGCGGGTGTGGAGTCGCGTGGATCAAAGGTGGGTGGGAGCTCAGCTGGGACGCCGACAGCTCCCTGGTCAGTGGCCCACATGGGGTCAGCCCTGGACTGGAGGTGGACACACAATCCGATTGAGGAGGAAAGTGAAGGGCCAGAGAGTGGTCACCAGTGTCTCAGTCCAGCCAGGTCTGGGGGTCTGGGGCTCGTGCTGCATGTGTCTGCACTCTCCCCCACAGGTGGACCCCTACCTGCCCTATGAGTACACCTGTGAAGGGATGCTGGAGCGCGTCCACGCCTACATCCAACACCAGGTAGGAGAGCTCTGCGGGGCCAGCAGCTCCCCTGTCCACAAGGTGGTCACCTCTGCCCAGGGCCCTTATTCTCCTGTCTCTCCCAGCTTCCTCTATCCCCAGTGGTCAGCCCTGGAGGCGGGAAGTATGGCTGGGAGACCAGGCAAGAGAGTCCTCCACCCCAAGTCCCAAACAGAGAAGAGGGGCCAGGCAAGGGGTCGTCACCCTCAACACCCAAATGCATGTTCATGCAAGTGACCCCTGAAGCTTCCCTCCCCTCCCTCTGATGCCGGGCGGGGCTCAGGTAGAGTCGGGGAGGGACTTACCTGCCCTGTTCTGGAGAGTCAGTGGCAGTGGTGGGTTACCTTTCTGGGAGCCCTGGCCCCGGAAGATCTGAGCTCCTGGTCGGCCTCCCAGGCCCAGGCGGCCCCGTGTGAAGTGTCTTCATGAGGCTGCAGGGTGATGGCTGGAGGTGGGCGGGCCCTGCTCACAGGTCCCATCTGTAAAATGTCATCTTACAGATGGGAATACTAAGGGCACCCAGGGGAGGGGCCTTGCTGAGGGTGGGAGAGAGAGTGTGGCCGGACCAAGGCTACCACCTGGGACTGAGCTGCTGGTGGGGACATCTTTCATGAAGCTCAGAGACACACATCTGCTGGGCCCTGCAGGCCCTTGGAGCTGACCCCTGCGGGGTACCCCTCCCAGGCCAAGCCCAGGGGGCCCCACAGTAGGGCCTGTGAGCTTCATCTTTGAGGACCCAGGACAGCCCAGGGGCTACAGCACACAGTGGACTGAGTTCAGATGGCCTGCCTGCAGTGGCTAGATCTGAGACCCAGGTCTTTGACCCCTCGGAGCCTCAGTTCCCCCCGTAAGATATGCAGAGGGTACTAGCTCCCCGGGATTGGAGGGGCCCGGCAGCGAGCCCTTTGGTGCGGTAGCCAGGCCTTCAGAAATCCATTCGTAGCGGGGCTGCCCCTACCGCTTTCCATACTAACCCTCCCCACCCGCCTTCTTTACCCCCTGTCTGCAGGACTTCTGCGCAGCCCCCGGCCCCTCCCCACCAGGGCCCCAAGCGCCGCAGAGCCCCTTCGTCCTGGCGCCCAACGCCACCCACCTGGAGTGGGCGAGGAACGCCAGCGTGGCCCTCGGGGCCTGGCCGCCAGGGCACTCGCTCCAGGCCTGGCTGGCCGAGGCGGGGCGCGCCTGCACGGATGCCTGCCTGGACCACGGGCTGGTCTGCGAGCCCTCCTTCTTCCCGCTGCTCAACAGCCGGGACACCTTCCGGAAGTGAGTGGCCCCGTCCCCCGCGGGCCCCGCCCACCGAAGCCCGCCCCTTCTGGCCCGCCGCGGAGCTAGTTAGTTCTGGGTTGGGCACCTGGGCTGTTACCTGCAAGATATACAGTTCAAACCCACCAGCCACTGCGGGGGAGAAAGATGAGGCTGTCTGTTTCCATAAAGATTCCCAGCCTGGGAATCTTTCCGTCCAAGGGAGGCCTTCCGTCTGAGTAGCAGTGGGTTTGGTTTTGAGTGAGGGACCCGAGAACAAAGCCCACGCGCCCCCTTCCTCCTCCTCGCAGCTCCTCCCCATCCCCTCCTGCACTTCCCTCCCTCATTTACTATCCTCTCCCCCGCGCCCGCCCCACCTCTCCCCCACTTCTTCCTCGGGGATTGGCCAAGGGCCCTAGCCCCATTCTGGCTCTAACTCAGGGTTGACCCTTCCTTCCCTGTGCAGTGGGAGCGGGGGCGGGGCGGGCTGGGGCCAGCTGTGTGGTGCCGCCCAGGCTGCAGGTGCCCTGTGACAGCACGGAGTCCGAGATGAACCACCTGTACCCAGCCTTCGCCCAGCCCGGCCAGGAATGCTACCTGCAGAAAGAGCCTCTTCTCTTCAGCTGTGCGGGCGCCAGCACCAAGTACCGCCGCCTCTGCCCCTGCAGAGACTTCCGCAAGGGCCAGGTGGCGCTGTGCCAGGCCTGCCTGTGAGCCCGACCTGCACACCCCAGCTCCAGCTCCTCCCGGGGACACCCGTGCACCCAGGAAGCCGGCAGATGACCGCACCAGCGAGGGCCTGAGCGGGCTCGCCATGCACTGGCCTGTGCTCCTCAGGGTCTGAGCGAGGCGTCTCTATTCAGCTGGGCCCCTGCTCTGGGGGCATGCCTCTGGCCAGCGGAGCCATGCATGCAGGCCAGCTGTGACCCTCTGGAGGGATCTGGGGGGTGGCCCAAGAGCGCTGGGCGGGGGGCAGGGGAGGCCAGGGCGTCCTGGCACTCATGCCTGTCCTCAGCCACCCCCAGGCCCCCACCTCTCTATGCAGGGACCACCCAGGCCCCGTCCACTTGTTTCTCTGCTTGTTTCAAATCTCATCCTCTGAAAACGGCGCTCCCGGCATGACCCCATCATTCCAGACAGCAGGCCTTTCTCCTTAGCCTCCGTCTGCCTCCTCCAAGGGACGGGTTTCCTCCGTAGCCCCCCCAGAACAGACCCCAGGAGCCCCTCCAGAACAGACCCCAGGTGTATCATCCTGGACACCTCCGCAGGGGCAGACTTCCCCACCCCGCATCCTTGCAGCAAGGGCCTGGGATTGGAGCTGCAGGCCCTGATGGGGGACCCCTCCATGCTCCCTCCAACTTCATCCACCCCGCCCCCACCCCAGGATGCTCTGTCCCCCTCCCCACACCCCAGCCCTGCCTGGTTCTAGCCAGGCCTCAGAACACTGCCACCCCTTCCCCTCCACAGAGTTTTAGAACCCCGCCCCTGTCTGGTCAGCCCTGCCCCCCACATAGACCTGCCCCCAGCTTTTCCAGGAGGCAGCTCCAGAACTGAGGACTCGCTGGGGGTGGGGTGGGGTGGGGGGCGCTCAAGTGGAGCTTCCTGCAGTGGTGGGAGGAGCCCCTCCCGGGCTGCTGGCTTGTGGTGGGCACCTGCTGAAGCTTCGAACCTGCCATCACCTGAGCCCAGCCTGCGGGAAAGCAATAGAGACTCTTTTCTCTCTTTTTTAAAGATTTATTTCTTGGAATAATAAATATTTTACTGGGATGTGAGGTGCAGAGAACAGCTGGTGCCGGTTTCTGCTCCTTTCCCAGGGTGCCCCGGCAGGGGCTAGGGGTGGAGGGGGTGAAACCAGGGGGCCCTTTTCAGGGATGCCTGGGTGCAGGGGCTGGGGCCTGAGGTGGAACAGGGTCTCTGGGTGGCCCAGGGAGCACACCCTGTCCTCCGGTCTGCAAAGGGCAGGCCTTCAGCTCCAGGCTGCCCAAAGGAAGACCCTGCTGGTGCTAGAGAGGCCTGTGACCTCCAGGAGCCTCCACACTCGCACCTCCACACTCGGACCTCCACATAGGAGCCTGCACACTAGGACCTGCGCACTGGGACTTCTGCGAGCAGCCAGTGTGGGGAGCCGTCCCTTAGGGCAAAAAAGGGATGGGGGATTCCTGGGCAGGGTTGGTTGGCGGGTGTCATGGGTTTGCCTGCATGCAAGGTGGGAGGGAATAGTGTGATCACAGGGCCCAGACCCTGGGTCAGTCATCGGGTGGCTGGGCCTCCCACACCAGCTTCCCTGAAGGGGCAGGAGATGGGAAATGGTAGAAACCTGTCCTAGGGCCAGGGAGAGCCAAGGCTGGGCCCTGGGTCTCCTGGAAGTATTTGGGTGCTGGCTTCGTGGGGGGCAGGGGTCACCGTGTCTTGGAGGGAGATTTAGCCCACCACATGCCCTGAGCCTACAGCCACCTTTCCTGCCCTGAAGATGACCTCCAAGACCCCCAAAGACCCCAGCTGTCACCTCCTCCCCCACCCCAGGGTACAGCCTCTGGACCTGGGGAGTCAACCCAGGGTGAGACGAGGGCCCCAGAAAGAGGGGCCTCAGGTTTTAATGACCTTATTACCCTGCCTCCACCCCAAGGACTGCCCTTTTTTCTAGACAGGCGAGTCCTGTCTGCCGTACTGTAAATGATACACGTGCTATTTATTCCTGAAAGAAAATACAGCCTCGAGTATTGTTGTTTGGGTCAGGGAGCTGGCTCCGACCCACGGTGACCTTGTGCACAGCAGAAGGAAAACTGCCCATCCTGCACCACCCTCACCACGGTGCCTACGCTAGAGCCCATGGCCGCAGCCGCTGTGTTCACCCATCTCGCCGAGGGCCCTCCTCTTTCCCTGCCCCTCCACTTGACCAAGCACGGTGTCCTTCTCCAGGGACTGGCCTCTCCAGGCCACAGGTCCCAAGTACGTGAAGCAAAGTCTCGCCATCCTGGCCTCTACGAGCACTCTGACCATACTTCTTCTGAGAGGACCGGCTTGTCCTTCGGCCGTCCGTGGTTTACAATCTTCTTCTCCAGCGCCACTGTTCAAGTGCACCCCTTCTTCTGCCCTCTAATGCCAATGGTGTTTGTCTCCAGTTCATAGAATCATTGTGTATGAATAATATTCGTTACTTTATAGATATTCCCGCATTTAAAAAAAAGGAGTACGTATTATTTTCGTAATGGGGATGCGCTGGTCATTTAACTGTTTTTAATGTAGGGAGATTAATTTTTTAATATGAAAAGAACACAAACCAATCATATCTTAGGTAGGGATATTAAATTTGTTTAATATAGAAAAAAAAAAGCCAGTTATATCCGTAGATATTCCTCAAAGAGAGGAGGAGCATGCTGGGGAGGGGTGCCCCTGTGCCCCACCCTGTGGTGCCCCTCCCATTTTTAGCCAGGAAGGAAGAGTGGAATGGGGGAGCCCTTGTGGGGGTTGGAGTCTGGAACCTGCTGCCCAGGGACCTCACCGTATTCTAACTCTCCCTTCCACATTTCTGAAAGATGGGGCTTTCTACTCCCATAAACAATTACAGCGACGGATGCTCCCAGGGCCCGGTCCACCCTGTCCTGTAGGCTCACCGTGCGTCGGCATGGACTCTCAGAGGCAGTGACTTTGACTTTGGAGTTTTTCCACATCTCGAAAACGGGATAGAATACCTATGACCCGTGGGCTTGAGGATTAACGAGGCCAGACAGGAAGCCTGGGGTGAAACCCAACCCCCATCCAGTGGACCTTGACTCCACAGGACAGGGTAGAACTGCTTCTTAGGGCTCCCAAGACCGTCAGCCTTTACGGGAGCAGCCGGCCTCATCGGTCTTGCTCCGAGCGGCTGCTGGGTTTGAATCACCGACCTTGAGGTTGGCCCCCAGTGAGGTGAAATGAGTGAGTACCTAACAGCTGGGAGCTGCTTGGTGCTGGAGGAATTGTGGCGGCACCGTGGTTAAGTGCTTGGTGCTCAGTGAAACTCGGCGGTTCCGATCCACAAATCAATCCCTCCGAGGGGGAAAGATGAGGCTGTCTGCTTCTGTACACAGGACAGCCTTGGAGACCGGAGGAGGCCGATAATGCCCTGTCCTCCAGGCCTGCTCTGTTGGAATGGGCTTGAGGACCACCGGTTTGGGTGTTGCTCAGCTATGAACACTCTGTTTAATGGGCTTGAGTAAGAGGAGCCCATCACACCTGTCACACCTGCTGGCAGGTAAGGGCGGACCATGGGGCTCTGGGGAAGGAGGGGTCAGGGGCCGGGGGAGGAGGGAGCGGCCCCAGCCTGTCCCCAGTCTAAGCCTGGGAACAGGATGCTCTCAAAGAAAACATGCTTTCCCTCTGTATGCTGAGGCAGGCAAGGACCGCTTTATTCATTAAGGAAGAGGAGGACAGGGTCAGGGGGTCGGAGGAAGGAGCCCCTCAAAGGGGCAGTGGGCAGAGGGGCCAGGGACCCTGCCTTTTAAAAAGGACCTTGGTGCCGACTCACAGTGACCGATCCTAAGTGAGCTTGAGTCCCACTGTGCGACCATCACACAGCTCCTCTCACCCAGGGGCCCCTCCACCTTATCAGCCAGGATGTGCTTCCCCAGCACGGGTCCCTCCTGAGGCCACAGCTGGAGTGAGCTAGCGGAGATCCGAGCTCCGCTGCGTTTCCACTGGCTGCTTCTCAGAAGCGGATTCCCAGGCCTTTCTTCCTAATCTTGCAGAGTCTAGAAGCTCACTGGAAACCTGTCCAGTCTGCTGGTATTTGACATACCTGTGACATACCCCTCAGTGTCACGGCATGTGCAAGACCCCACAGAGATAGGCAGGCAGATGGGGGAGTTCAGGGGGCTTGGTCACTGGGTGGGGCCTAACCTCTGGAGGCTTCCCCTGGGCCAGCCTGCTGGGCATGTCTCCTCCTCCTCCTCCTCCTGAGGAAGCTGCTTGGATTCCCAGGGGGTGGGGGAGCTGGAGAGGGGGCAGACAGAGTCCAGCATCCTTGGGTAATGAAGCCTGCCTGCTGGAGCAGTCAGTCCTTGGGAGCACAGAGCAGAGATGAGGCTGGTTAAGGAAGAGCTCGGGTAAAATTCCACTCCGCCCCAGCTCTGTCCCTGAGGAGAAAGGGATGGGTCAGATGTCTGCTATCTTTGAGAATATCAGCAGGACAGGAACCAAGCCATCAGCCCAGAGTCTGAGCCCCGTGGCACCCTGGACAGGCATCAGAAAAGAGGGGCCAGTTGATGCCAAAGGAACCCTGGTGATGCAGTGGGTTGTGTGCGTTGGGCTGCTAACCACAAGGCCAGCGGTTCAAAACCATCAGGCACTCCAAGGTAGAAAGATGAGGCTTTCTGCTTCTGTAAAGAGTTACAGCCTCGGAAACCCACAGGAGCAGATCTACCCTGTCCTGTAGGGTCGCCAGGAGTCAGGAGGGTCCAGAGGACAAGTGAGTTGAGTTGAGTATAGATACAAACGCTTGACTGCTCACCGAGAGGTGGGTGGATGGAACTCACCTGTCGGTGCTGAGGAAGAAAGGTCTGGCTATCTGCTTCCATAAAGATACACCCAAGAAAACGCGATGGAGCCATTGTCTGTGGAGTGAGGTCCCCATGAGTCGACATCGGCTCTGTGGTCGGGGTGGGGTGGGGGTGGGGTTGTTAAAGCAAAGGAAAAAGGACACTGACTTTGCCCACCAGCCAGTCCCCCCTCCTCCCCCCCCACTGCCTCTGGTGGGCTCTGCTGTCCCTGGGAGGACCAGGGCATCCCTGAAGCCAAATTCCAGGCTGGTTCCACCTGCCCCATGTTGCCTGCTCTGCTCAGCCTGAGCTCACCCCCTCCTTCCTAGGCTGCTGCTAAAAATAACCCGGCCAGCTTCAGCCTGTATTTGAATAGTGTTCTCCAGGGGCTCCTTTGTGGAGGCTCAGAGAGCAAGTCTGGTGAGTGAGCCCAGAATGCTGGGTGGGATGCTGCTGGGGTAGGGGTTGGGGATGGGGTTGGTCACTCACAGGACAGGGTGGTTGCTCTCCCTGTCCATGCACAGCCCCCACAGCCGGCCTGGCCATCAGGTCTGACTGCCGGTCACCTTTTGTTTCCAGGCCCAGGTGTGGCCAATGGGCATGTGAAGGCCCCAGGCTGGGACCAGGCCACTTGAGGGCACCTGGGAGCTCCTTACCAGTAGCTCTTTTGGTTCAGCTGGGGCTTGGGGGCCCTGATCGGATGGGAAGAGACCCCCTAGACTTTCCTCCTGAGGCTCACGGGGAGGGGTGCTTGCACGTCCTACCTGTGGTTCACACCATCCAAGGGCTGCCGACCTGTGTTCCCCAATTCTGGGTCCTCCGAAGGTGGAGGTGGGGGGAAGATGGCTTTGTCTAAAACTGGCTTCAGACTCTGCACTTCGAAGTCCCACCCCAGGTCCACACCAGCTGGGCAGAGCAGCAGGCAGCCCCCCAGGGTCCTGCCCACCCTTCCCATCAAGAAGGAAAATAATGAATACTAATGAATGAATAGACTGTGAATGGGGAGCCACTGAGCCCAGTGAGGTATGCAAAGTGATGAGAAGTGCCACCTTCTAAACCTTGATCTACCAGAGAGCAGGCTTCCTGGCCCCACCTGGGTGAGCTCCCCACCCCCCTCTTGTGGTCCAGCTTCGCCTGCTGGACTGAGAAAGGCAGGGAGGGGCGAGGACCTCATCTTGTGCAACAAGACAGCTGCTGGAGACCTTGAGCCTGGCTCTGGGGAGTAAGTTGCCAAGAGCAAGGTGGCCTTTGAGCCTGAGGGGGCTGA